AGTTGCTCGCAAAAGCCCGTTTGACAGAAATGTTTAAAAAGTGTTGGGTTTCCTACGAATCCGCAAGAGCGCGCGGGATGAATTTTTGACATTTTTTTTAAATAAAAGAAAAAAAAACATTGGGTTTTTGATGTTTTTATGTTAAAATCGCTACGAAAACTAAGGTTTTGGAAGGATTTCGTCTTGCGCGCGCGAATGTCCACTTTACCTTATTTTTTGCAAGGGATTCTTGAAATTTGGTTATGTTAGAACAAGAAATGTCATTTTATTGTTTTTTGCAAGGGAAAGCGGGGGGGAACAAAACAACCGGATCCGGACCAACCCGTTTTGCCTGAGACTTCCTCACGAAAATGATGAAAATGTGGCTGCGGCCTAGGCGCGGCGGGGGGGCGTGCACCAGGGGCCCCAACAATAATTATTCTTTAGAAGTAATAATGTTCAACAACAACAACAACAACAATTACTAGCACGTGGGGACACTCCGTTCTCACCAGTGCCAGGGTTTTCATAGGAGGCGGGCAATACCCCCACTTTGTGGGGGGGCCGGTTCAAGCTCTACCAAATTTCCAAACGACTCTTCGCCACCACCCACACCCAGCTTCCCGCCCTATGACGTTCGGACACTTCACTTCGTGGCATGCGGACGACCGTGGCTACTATTCAGGGCCCCGCGGCCGACGACGACGGCGTGCGCGCGCGAAGAAAAAACGAATGTGTCCCGCATGGTATTATTTGACAGGGATGATGGCCCTGGCAGGTGCGCAACCGTTGTTGCAGAAGTTCGAAAAAGTTGCTCGCAAAAGCCCGTTTGACAGAAATGTTTAAAAAGTGTTGGGTTTCCTACGAATCCGCAAGAGCGCGCGGGATGAAATTTTGACAATTTTTTTTGAAAAACCATTGGTTTTTTGATGTTTTTATGTTAAAATCGCTACGAAAACTAAGGTTTTGGAAGGATTTCGTCTTGCGCGCGCGAATGTCCACTTTACCTTATTTTTTGCAAGGGATTCTTGAAGTTTGGATTATGTTAGAACAAGAAATGTCATTTTATAGTGTTTTTTGCAAGGGAAAGCGGGGGACAACAAAACAACCGGATCTGGACCACATCGTTTTGCCTGAGGCTTCCTCACGAAAATTATGAAAATGAGGCTGCGGCCTAGGCGCGGCGGGGGGGTCGTGCACCAGGGGTCCCAACAATAATTATTCTTTAGAATTAATAATATTCAACAACAACAACAACAACAACAACAACAACAACAACAACAACAACAACAACAACAACAACAACAACAACACTTACACCACCACCACCACCACCACCACCACCAGCAACAACAACAACAACAACAACCACAACCACAACAACAACACCAACAACAACAACAACAACAACAATCCGCACCGCAGAACCTCACTTGAGCCACGCGCCCAGGGACAGTGAATGACCGGTTGGCCCCCTCACTCTGACCAAGAGAGATGATAACGCTGGTGCCTGATGGCACCGTGACGTGACATTACAATATGAGCTCGACCACAAGAAACCTTCCAAAGAAACCCGACCCTGAGACCCCAGGACGTCCATCGATTTTGGGTATGGGAACGCCACGCCCTCCATAGCAAAGCCATCGGAACCCAAGAAATTCAGGGCACCCTGGAGGCAAGCAGGGTGTTCCTTGGCCACTGCACTGCTGCTGGACTGCAATACTCGCAATAATCACGAGCGAAAACATCATGACAGTCCTGTCCAGTGCATCATGTCTCTCAAGTCCTGTCCCCCTTTCTGGACGCCCGAAATGGGTACGGACAGAATGGGTACAATGCCCAACAACAAGTGTTGCCCCAAACCAACAGCGGCCGCTGTTGGGCAAGCGGCCTTCTGTCTCGAATGGACACAGGCCGCGGCGGCGTGGACAGCGAGCCCTGTTCAAAATGAACCAGATCCGCTGTTCGGCATGGTACCCACTCTTTCCGTGCCCATTTCGTCCGTGCAGATCTCAAGTCGTGTCCCCCTTGGGCTGTCAAACGCCATTCCCTCTCGCTGCCCCAGGGTGCGTGCCCTGTCTGTCCCCGCCGGTGCCTGCGGCTCTTGTGCCCCGTCTGTGGCTCCCCGCTCGGTGCCAGTCGGCCAGGGCTCCGCTCGGGGTGCCCCTGCGGGCTCCTCTCGACGGCTCCCCGTGGGACGCCGTTGGCCGTTCCCGCCCCGGGAAACCGGAAGGTACCCATACCGCCACTATGTGATGTACAGTCAACCCGCAGAGTAAGGATGCGCGATGAGGATGCAAGGGCCTTGGACGCCCATTTGGAAGCTTCCCGAGCGGGGCGCGGCCAACGAAAGTGTCGAAGGATGGACCCAGGAAGCAAGGGTGCAAGGGTACCCCTGGGAGGGATGCCTATCCTTACTCTGCGGGTTGACTGTAGTACTTCCCGGTCCTCTCCCAGGTTGCGTTCCGATCAGGATTTCGAGGCGAACCCAGTGGTGGCGACGAGGGCCTCCCAGGAGGCCCCAAAAGGGGGAAAACGAGGGGAAGGGCAGCGGTATCGGCACCTTCTCCTCCTTTGAGCTCGGTGCACCACGGTTGCTGCCGCGTGGTCCCCGTGCGCCGCAGTCGGCACCTCCCTCTCGGTGCCTCGAAGCTGCTGCCCAAAATCTCATCTCTTCCCTGCCTCGTGGGCCCCTGCAGGATGCGATCCACCGTTCCCGCTCGGAGACTCGTGGTTGCTGCTCCGTGCTTCCCTGCGTCTTCACGTCGCTCGGACGTCCCTTCCCCGCGCATGGGTTGGCCTCGTGCGCGAAGTGTTTGTCTCGAGATGGTCTCAGATCCTAGATGCTGCAAGATGGCCCAAATTCCCTGGCACCGGCCTCGCCGAGAAAAGTGCACACGTCCGAGCGATGCCCTGGTCTATGGCTCCCCGTAGGCCGCAAGTGGTCATTCCCGCTCGGTGTCCCGATGGTTGAGGCCCTCTTGGGGAAGCAAAAAGAATACCGATGCCGCTGCTCCCCGGGCCTCATCCTGACCAAAATTTCGAGGCGAACCCAGCCATGGCGACGAGTGCCTCCCAGGAGGCCCAAAAAGGGGATACTGAGGGAAGGTGTAGCGGTAGCAGTACCTTTTCCTCCTCTGGCCTATGACTCCCTGTGGGCTGCAATCGCCCGTCCCCGCTCGGTGCCCGCTGGTTGCCCGTCGATGGCTTCCTGTGGGCGCAGCCGGACGCCTCCGCCCGCCGCTGTCTTGCTGCTGCCCAGCTGGGTCCCTGCAGAGGGCTCCCCTTGGGGCCACCATCGCCCGCTCCCGCTCCGTGCCCTGTGCTTGGTGCCCCATGGCTGGTACGCTGTGGCTGGCACCCTGGGGTGCCACAAATAGAGGAAGGTGAACTATGCACATACGCCGACTCTGGCTAGGCCTAGGTCGGGCATGTCCTCCTGCAGGCGAATCTTGTAGGAAAATCGGCAAGCAAGTTTTTTAAGCGGAAACGTCGACAAAAAAATGTTCAGAAAATCATCCTCAGACTAGGTTTAACTATTCTTGAATCTTCCTCTCGCAGAGGGACAGGCCCGACTGAAGGCCAGGCCCACCCTGAGCCCAGGTCCGGTGCAGACGGCCTCCTGGCCTTGGCTAGGGAAGCACTCGCCATCGCTTGGACGTACATTCCCTGTGTTTTTGTTTCGGTTTCGTACGTGGTTGTTTCGCCAAATGATCAAGGATGCTCCTCGATGGTCCTCGCCGAAGGAAAAATGCACACGTCCGAGCGATGCCAAGACCATAATTATTTGTACCGATCCCGGGCCCCGCTGTGGGCCTCGACAGGGCCGGCGCGTGCGCGTGCGCACAGCTCTCCTTTCGCCCGTGTGAGGTGCCCGCTGGTTGGTGGTTTTTGGATGACATGTGACGGTCAACCCGCAAAACAAGGAGGCGCGGCAAGGATGCAGGGGCCCTGGAGGGCCGCATGCGCGTTTCTCGAGCTAGGTTGGCCAGCGAGAGTCGCTGAGGATGTGCCGAAGGGGCAAGGATGCGAGAGCACCCTTGGGAAGGTTGCCCCTCCTTCCTATGCGGGCTGAGTGTAGGTGCCCTCCTGACCTTCCTTGGCCAGGGAGGCATAGGTGCACCGATCCCCGGGCCCCGCCGTGGGCCTCTGGCCAGGGCCGGTGCGTGTGCGCACAGTTCTCCTTTCGCCCACGTGAGGTGCCCGCTGGTTGGTGGCCTGTGGACGATACCTTCGGCGCCGTGGCCCGATGCAGTCGGCCCGTATCGCAAGTACGCGCGATAAGGATGCAAGGGCCTTGGGCGCCCATTTCGAGGCTTTCCAAGCGTGAGGTGCCCGCCGTCGGTGCCCTGTGGGTGGGACCTTCATAGACAAGCGCGCGCTCCACTACTCGCAGAGTAGCTACTCGCCAATGGCCTGGATCCCACGCGGGGGAATTTTCGATCCACTACAGCGAGGCGAACATACGTTTCTCGGATTTTTGCCAGTAGGCACTTTGCGAGTAGTGGAACGCGCCCAGTGACCCATGGATGATACCTTATGCGCTGGGGCCCGATGATGTGTGCTCCATTTCGGCGGCGAGCGAGGTGGGAAGCGACATGGAGAGGAGGCCGTCTCAGAAGGCGGCGGGGCGTCTCAGAAGGCGTCTGGCTTTCTGGGAAGTTCTCTGCGTGTTTGGGGAAGGTTTAAGAAAACTGTCAGAAGGCAGGGGGACTTCCGAGCCTTCCGAGAAAGCCCGCCCTTTCTCACTTCGCCCCCAGGCTCGCCGCCGACCGTTGCGCCCCATGGTGCCCGATCGTTGGCGGAATATGGTTCATACTCTTTGCCTCCCGGTTTGGAGCCTTAACTTGTCCTAGATACTGCATGGCTCGCACTACACAGCGCAAGAGCCTAGTTCCTAGTCGGAGTACACGGGCTGGCAAAACATAGTAATGTACATAAGTTGTGTGTTGTCCATGCGCGTTGCCTCTCGCGCTTCGGCGATCGAAAGGTAGCGAAACGAGCTGGGCATCGCCCCGCGCCTGACGGTGGCCGCTTCCATGTTCGCCCTCCTGATGGGAAGCTTTGAAACGACGGAGCAAGCACACGCTGGGCATGACAGGGGTAGAGGACTCTGCGACGAGCGACAAGAGAACACCACGAGTATCAGCTCTGGAACTGGCCAGAGAAAGACTCCAGCGAGGGGAGCGCGAGGGGGCTGGAAGCAGATCCAAGCATCCGTGGTTCGCCCAAGGTGACAAAGCGCTATTGCGCTAACCATAAGCGGGGTCCTGTCGTTTGATATGCATCCGAATGCCCGTCCATGCACGTGGCAGCGTGTAAAAACCACTTCGCCTTCAATATGCGAGCACGCAGCATGGTTTGCTCGGTGTTGGGCTCTGCTGTGTTGGGTTATTATACGCTGCTGCTTCTCTGCTGCGACATCCTTCTTCTTCTCTGCTGACTCTGCGCGCATCGCCCTCTCTGGGAGCATACGGCGCGCAACTGTCGCCTCGTTGATGCGCCCCCCTGGGATGCAGCGGATCGCAGCTGTACGGGGGTCGTTGCCGTCGACGTCAACGCCGTCGCCGTCGACGTCGTCGGCCGGAGAAGACAGACAACGACAACCACCACGACGACGACCACGACCACGAACACATTCACACATTCACGACGACGACGACTTCGTCCTTCGCCGTCGTCGTCGTCGCCCTCCCTGGATGCTGCCAGGCGTGCAACCGTCGCCACCTTGCTGCGCCCCTGCGAAGTCCCGCGGAGTGGCCACGTCCATTCCCTGTGCTTTTTGGGGTTTCGTGCGTGGTTTTTTCGCAGGATGATCCAGGATGCTCCTTCATAGTCCCCGCCGAGGAAGAAAGGAGAAAAAAAAAGTCCCCAAGACGCCGCCAAGGAGCCCCAAGAGACTCCCAAGAGGTCCCCGAGAGGCCCCCTTGCGCAGATCCACCCCGGGCCTCCTCGCCCCCGGGCGCCGTGCGTGCGTGCAGCTGCTCCCTCTGTGCGCTGCCGCCCGCGCGGCCGCCGCCGCTCCCTGTATTTTTTGTTGGTTTCGCGCGTGGTTTCTTGACAGGATGATCCAGGATGCTCCTTAATAGTCCCCGCCGAGAAAAAAAAATAAAAAAAGAGCACACGTCCCCAAGACGCCGCCAAGGAGCCCCAAGAGACTCCCAAGAGGTCCCCAAAAAGCCCCCAAGAGGCCCTAAAGAGGGCTCCAGGGCCGGCGGAATAAGTGAAGCGATTGAATAAGAAAACGATCGCATGCTGCCAGGCGTGTTTTTGTCGGCAGTTCGCTGTGCCCACGCGGGGCCCAGCGCGGTGCGGCGCTACGGTGGCCCCAGGCGGGGCCTCGCCCTCCCCGCGTGGCGGCAGGCGTGCGGCCGTCGCCGCGCTGATGCGCCTCCGGGGTGCGGTCGCACGGCAAACCGAGCGGCACTTCGCCATCCCTTGGGTGCTGCCAGCGATCGTCGTCGTCCTCCTCCTCATCCTGTTCCTCCTCCTCCTGCTCCTCCTCCTCCTGCTCCTCCTCCTCCTCCTCCTGCTCCTCCTCCTCCTCCTCCTCCTGCTCCTCCTCCTGCTCCTCCTGCTCCTGCTCCTCCTCCTCCTCCTCCTCCTCCTCCTCCTCCTGCTCCTGCTCCTCCTGCTCCTCCTGCTCCTCCTGCTCTCCTCCTGCTCTCCTCCTCCTCCTCCTCCTCCTCCTCCTCCTCCTCCTCCTCCTCCTCCTCCTCCTCCTCCTCCTATATCCGCTGTGCTGCGCCCTTAGAAGGCCCAGCAGACCCAGGGGACGCGCGTGCCCATGCGGGACCCAGCCTTTTCCCGGGTGCTGCCACGCGTGCAACTGCCTCCACGGTGCTGCAACCCATGGGAGTCCACCGTCATTGCCCTCACTAGGATTATCGTTCTTCGACGACGGCCCCACCGACATCGAGGTAACCAAAGCACGACAGCAAGGCGGCGTCGCAGCGTGAGAACGATCCCGAAATCACTCTGAGCAGCGCGGGTACGCATCACTGCTGCACAGGAGGAGAAAGAGGAGGGGGAGGAGAAGCAAGAGGATCACACCTCCAAACATTGCCCTCCCTGGGTGCTGTGAAGCGTGCAACTGTCGCCACTCCCACTATCCGTCATCATCTCCCGTTCATCGAGCCCCCCTCCAAATGTACATCCCACTTCCTCTCCGAGTCCTCGTCCGCCTCATCATCCTCATCATCGTCATCATCATCATCAGCATCATCATCAGCATCATCAGCATCATCATCATCATCATCATCATCATCATCATCATCATCAGCATCAGCATCATCATCAGCATCATCATCATCAACAACATCAGCATCGTCATCGTCATCGTCATCATCATCAGCATCAGCATCAGCATCATCATCATCATCATAATCAGAACCATCATCAGCATAATCGTCAGCAGCGTCACCATCATCATCATGAGCATCATCACCATCACCGTCGTCATCTTCATCAGTATCATCATCCTCATCATCCTCCCCCTCATCATCAGCATCATCATCAACAGCAGCATCATCATCATGAGCATCATCATCATTAGCATACGCGACATCATCATCAGCAGCAGCAGCACGTTCATCTCATTATTCGTATTCCTGATATTATGACTCGTATTCATCATCATCACCATCATTATCATCATCAGCATATTCAGCATCATCATCATCATCATCATCATCATCATCATCATCATCATCATCTTCATCATCATAATCAGCGTCATCACAATCATCATCACCATCATCAGCAACGTCATCAGAATCATCATCATGTAATTCGACAGTCCTCCTCTTCGTCATCATCATGATCAGCACAAGCATCATAGCCAGCAGCGGCAGCATCAGCGTCATCACAAACATCATCGTGATCTTCATCATCAGCAGCAGCATCGTCATCGTCATCGTACTCATCAGCACCATCACCATCAAACTCAGTATAACCATCATCGTCAGCATCAGCATCGTCATCATCATCCGCATCATCATAATCAGCATCATCATCCTCATCATCGTCAGCACCAACATCATCGTCATCAGTAGCATCACCATCACCATCATCATCAGCATCGTCATCGTCATCGTCATCGTCATCACCATCATCATCCTCAGCACCATCATCGTCATGTGCATCTCGTCATCGCTATCGTCGTCCCCATCATCGCAATTAGCTACCACCAACATCGTCTTCAGCGACATCAGCATCATCATCCTCATCCTCAACGTCCTCCTCAGCATCATCATCAGCGTCAGCATCATCATCATCAGCATATTCGCCATCATCACCATCATAATGAGCATAATCGTAATCATCGTCATCAGCATAATCAGCATCATCACAGCATCAGCATCACCATCATCACCATCAGCATCATCGGCATCGTCATCGTCATGATCAGCATCATCAACAACAGCAGCATCAGCAGCATCACAGTCATCATCATCACCAACACCATCGTCATCCTCGTCATCAGCATCGTCATCGTCAAAGTCATCGCCATCGTCATCGTCATTCCCATCATCGCCATCATCATGAGCATCATCAGCACCATCACCATCACCATCGCCATCACCATCACCATCAGCATCATCATCATCATCACCGTCGTCATCGTCATCGGCATCATCACATGCATCATCATCATCATCAGCAGCAGCATCATCATCATCATCACAGTCATCATCATCACCACCACCATCATCAGCAGCATCATCATCGCCACTAGCACCACCATTATCATAATCATCAGCATCGCCACCAACGCCACCATTATCATCATCATCAGCAGCAGCATCCTCATCATCAGCATCAGCATCCTCATCATTGTCAGCATCACCATCATCACCACCATCATCAGCCTAATCCCATCCTCGTGCTTCTCCTCCTGCTCCTCCTACTCCTCCTCCTCCTCCTCCTCCTCCTCCTTCTCCTTCTCATCATGCTCCTCCTCGCATTAGTGATCTGCGTGCCCAGGGTGCCCAGCGGACTGCCAGGCATTCTTACCAAGAGGCGGCCAGCGCGACGGTTAACCACATCATATGAGAAGCCATCACGCTGAACCCTCGACCCTGCAGGCAGACACGTACCAGAACGGCTGGAATCGGTATCGAAAGACATGACGTAATGATGGAAAACGTCCTCCTCCTCCTCCCCCTCCTCTTCCCTCCTCCTCCTCCGCCTCCGCCTCCTCCTCCTCCTCCCCTCCTCCTCCTCCTCCTCCTCCTCCATCCTCCTCATCCTCCTCCTCCTCCCCGCTCCTCCTCCTTCCTCTCCTCCGCCTCCGCCTCCTCCTCCCCTCCTCCTCTCCTCCTACTCCTCTCCTCCTCTTCGCTCCTCCTCCCTCCTCTCTCCTCCTCTCCTCCTCCGCCTCCTCCTCCGCCTCCGCCTCGCCTCCGCCTCCGCTTTCTCTTCCTCCTCCTCCTCCTCATCCGCCTCTCCCGCCTCCGCCTCCGCTCCGCCTCCGCTCCGCATCTCCTCGTCCTCCTCTTCCTCCTCTTCCTCCTCCTCTCCTCCTCCCGCCTCCGCCTCCGCCTCCGCCTCCGCCTCGCCTCCTCCTCCTCATCCTCCCCCCCTCCTCCTCCTCTGTTATTCGTATTAGGCGTCTTATTATTATGGTTATTATGAGTATTCTTCTCCTCCTCCTCCTCCTCCTCTTTTTACTCTCCTCTTCCTCTCCTCATCCTCCTCTCCTCCTCCTCCTCCTCCGCTCCGCCTCCGCCTCCGCCTCCGCCTCCCCCCTCCGCCTCCTCCTCCTCCTCTCCGCCTCCGCCTCCTCCTCCTCCTCCTCCTCCTCCTCCTCCGCACTCATCCTCCCTCCTCCTCCTCTCCTCTCCTCCTCCTCCTCCTCCTCCTTCCTCCTCTCCTCCTCCTCCTCCTCCCCCTCCTCCTCCTCCTCCTCTCCTCTCCTCCTCCTCCTCCTCCTCCTCCTCTCCTCCTCCTCCTCCTCCTCCTCCTCCTCCTCCTCCTCCTCCTCCTCCTCCTCCCCCCCCTCCTCCTCTCCTCCTCCTCCTCCTCCTCCTCCTCCTCTCCTCCTCCTCCTCCTCCGCTCCCTCCTCTCCTCCTCCTCGTTTCCTCCTCCTTCTTCCTCCTCCCCTTCCTCTCTCCTCCTCCTCCGCCTCCTCCTCCCCCTCCTCCTCCCGCTCCTCATCCCTCCTCCCTGTCATCCTCCTCCCTCCTCCTCCTCCTCCTCTTCCTCCTCCTCCTCCTCCTCCTTCTCCTCCTTCTCCTCCTCCTCCTCCACCACCTCCACCTCCTCCGCCCCCTCCTCCGCCTCCTCCTCTCCTCCTCCTCCTCACCCTCCTCCTCCTCCCTCCTCCTCCTCCTCAGCCTCTCCTCCTCCTCCTCTCCTCCTCCTCCTCGTCCTCCTTCCTCCTCCTCCTCCTCCTCCTCCTCCTCTCCTCCTCCTCCTCCGCCTCCTCAGGCAGGCAGGCGTTGAAAGCACGGCCAGCCTACAGCCAACAGGTATGATAAGGACACACAATAAGGATGCAAATGTAGCCCTTCCCTACAGGAGGCCGCTCTGAACAGCGTTGCCAGCCTGCCGCCTCCCAAACGGCCTTCCCTGTCCATCTCCCGGCGGGTGCCGCACCAAGGCCACCTGCACCAGCGCCAGAGAGAGGGTCCCACAGTCAAAGCGCTTAAGAAGGACGCACGATAAGGATGCAAGGGCCTTTGGAGGTCATGTCGACACTTTGCGAGCGGTGCGCGGCCAGCGAAAGCGGCCAAGGATGTGCCGAAGGAGAAGGGTGCAGGGGCAACCTTGGAAAGTACTCATCCTTACTATGCGGGTTGACACTGTCGAACAGAAGAACATCCTTCAAGAACATGAGATGCTCCGCCGGCCAAACTGAAGAGCACTCGATGGCACCCTCCCCCAGGAGGCCCAAGAGTCTTCAACAAACACGAAGAACATCAGGGTACCCTCCCCGAACCGACCTCGATCTGATACCTCGGTCGGGCCGTAGAGTGGGCTTCCGCGCGCCACCTGAGGACGAGGGAAGAGGGAAGAACACTCCACTCTTGAAGCAGGAGCAGATGAGGACTTGGTCACCCAAAATTGCCTGCTTTCAACGGCCGACGGGTATGGACAAATCCCCGCCTCGAAGCTCCGAACAGACGACAGGGCAGGGCGGGTGGTCAGCTCTCAACTCAAAAGGCAGATTGTACGCGCTTGCTGTCTGGACCCGGGGCGGCTGCCACAGCAGAGCCTCTGCGTGCACGTGTATCAGAAGGATGCGCGATAAGGGTGCAAGGGCCTTGCACGCCCATTCGCGAAGCTTCTCGAGCGGGGCGCGGCAAGCGAGTGTGACCAAAGGACGGACCGAGGAGGCAGAGATGCAAGGGTACCCTCGGGAAGGTTGCCCATCCCGACTATGCGGGTTGACTGCGTAGCCATCGTGCTACCGCGGGGAATGCTGAACGAAGAATCGGGGATTCTGACCCGGGTCAATCCAGACAAGGGTCAGCAGGAAACCCAAAGAACTGCATTGCAGGAAAAAAACTGCAACGCAGGTCTTCGCAAAACTGGGTCGGCCAGTATGCGCGGCCGCCCTCGCGGCCACGAGCGGCTCGCTGACCCGGGTCAGCCAGAGGGGGTCTTCGCAAGATCCTGCAGGACCCGGTGCCCTGGCTGACCCCCGTTTGCGCTGACCCTGTCCCTGAGGCCCCGAAAGAACGCACTGAAATAAGAAGAGGCGCAATGAAACCTGGGAAAATAGCATGGCCATCGCCATGCTATCCACCCCCCCCAGTCATCACCCCCCTCTTTGCCGCCCCCGACCTGCACGAGGCACGAACGGGGGGCCGCTTTCCGGTGACGTCGAGCCTCGGCCACGCACGGGCTCCCCGGCCCGCCTCGGAGGATCGGCCCGCGCCCTTGAGCGGCTTGCGCCTCAGCGGAGCGGACTGCAGCGGAGCCACGGGGTGCACCACTGGGCAGGGCAGGCGACGGCGGGCTCGGGCGATGGCGAGAGAGGGGTGCGGCGGCACGCACGAGTTGCGTCCTCTGGGCAGCTTCGGCGGCTAGTCTCGCGCGCTCCTCCTCTTCCCTCCGCCTCGCCGCGGCCTCCTCGGCGCGCTTCCTGGGCGGGGGCGGGCACAGAGAGATCGCGTTTGCAGATGGCCTCTTCGACGCCACGTCGCCGCTTCTTCCAGAACTTCCACGTTGCACTGCGAGTCGAAGTCGTCATCCAAAACTTCGAGTAAAAGCGCAATGCCAACAACCTCGAGGAGGCGCTTTCCCACCCCAGCACGTGTTCCCCCTTGTCGGCAGAAGCGTCTTCATCCTCGAAAGCTGTTCCCCCCCTCCATTTGTGGTCTCTCCGACAAGGCCCCCAGAGAAGGAAGTCGAGTGGCAGGTGGCAGGGAGGGCCGGGGTGGCTGGGGCTGGAAATGGCAAAGCCTCATTGGCATCGCTTGGGATCGCTGCACGGACGTGAAGTCGCCACACGAACGCGCGTCGAGACCAGGAGCCCCATTCGCCGAGGGCCCCTATGCGCTATGGAGATAGCCCAAATGAGCGCCATTCCAAGGCGGGGCGTCAAAACACTACGAACATAATCCGCCGGCCCCCTTGTGGGGCCAGCAAGCTGCGCGGGTTAGACTTGCTGCTCACTGCTCCAAGTCCAGTTTCAAGTCTCCCGTATAATAGTCCTGCTTTCTACGTCCTACTGCAATTTGTCACTGGCCGCGGGAAGGGTTGAGCCCCGAACCAGCTTGTCACCACGCCCAAATCGCGTTGCCTAAATTCCTGCGGGGCCGTGGGCCATGTGAGCCACGAACCCGGAACGGAGTATAGAAATGTAAGACATGGCAACGTTTCAAAGACACCTGATTCGGTGACGGGCAAATGCAATGCTGAATGTATCGACCTGTACCGTGCTGAGGGCTGTGCTGTGCTGCGCCGTGCTGAACTGCGATGTGCCATGCCGCGATTGTGCTCTATGGCGTTGTGGATCAAGTTCTCCTTTGCAGACGAGCCCTGACCGAACTGATCTGGATCTTAAACTCGAGCTGACTGAGCAAACGGTAGCTGCCCCAGAGCCAATTCACCAGGGGGGCATGCTAGGAAGACGCGCCGCGGAACGTCCCAAGGGACGCGCCAAGCGACGTGCCAGGGGACGTGCCGTGGGGACCTGCCGCGAGACGTGTCGAGGGGACGCGCTACGAACGTGCCAGAGGACGCCCCGCGGGGCGTGCAAGAGGGACTCGCCACGGGACGCGCCACGGAACGTGCCATGGAACGTGCCAAGTTGCAATGCCAAGTGGGTGTATCGATCTTGATGTACCGTGCCGGGGGCTGGGCTGTGCTGCGCCGTGCCGAGCTGCGATGTGCCATGCCGCGACTGTGCTCTATGATGTCGTGGATCGAGTCCTCCGTTGCATCCGGGTCCTGACCGAACTGATCTGGATCTCAAGCTCGAGCTGTCTGAGCACATAGTCCACATAGTAGCTGCCCCAGAGCTTAATTGACAAGGCAACATGCCAGGAGGACGCGCCGCGAAATGTCCCAAGGGACGCGCCAAACGACGTACCTGGGGACGTGCCACGGGGACGCACAGGGGGGTGTACCAAGGGGACGCGCTACGGAACGTGCTGGAGACAAGCGTCGTGCTGGTGGCCTGGACACGTAAAAACACGTGGTGCCAGCTCGGGGCAACCATGTTAGATACACCCCTGGGTGACCTGGGCACATAAAAACACGTTGTGCCAGCTCGGGACAATCATATTAGATACCTGCCTGGGTGGCCAGGAAACGTGAAAACGCGTGGTTCCAGCTCGAGAGACATGAAAAAGCACGTGGGTCCAGCTCGGGACAGTCATGTTAGATACCCCCCTGCGTGACCTGGATACGCTGAATTCGCGCTCCCGCTCGAGACATCTTCGCATTGTCTTCCCTGGAGAGGCTCCCACAGCGCCACCCCCTGCCCAGAGCAAGAAAACATCACGTTTCTGTTTTGAGACATGTGTTCGGGTAGCACTTTTCGGCCCCCCCGTGCGTTTTCTGATAATTCGGCGTTGGGCAGGACGCCATATTGGATGCCCCCCTGGGCGGCCTGGGCATGTTAAAACACGTGGTTCCAATTCGCGACAATTATGTTAGATACCCGACTGGGTGGCCTGGACACGTACAAACACATGGTGCCAGCTCTGGGCAACCATGTTATATACACCCCTGGGTGGCCTGGACAAGTTAAAACACGTGGTGACAGCTCGTGACAACCATGTCAAATACCCCTCTGGGCGGCCTGGACACGTAAAAACGTGGGTGCCAGCTCTGGGCAACCATGTTAGATACACCCCCATGGGTGGCCTGGACATGTTAAACCACGTGGTGCTTGCTTGGGGCAACCATGTTAGATGACCCCCTGGGTGGCCTGGACAAGTAAAAACACGTGGTGCAAGCTCGGGACAATCATGTTAGATACACCCCTGAGTGGCCTGGACACGTTAAAGCACGTGGTCCTTGCTCGGGACAATCATATTAGATACCTCTCTGGGTGGCCAGGACACGTAAGAACACGTGGTTCCAGCTCGGGACAACCATGTTAGATACCCCCCTGCGTGGCCTGGATACGCTGAGTTCGCGCTCCCGCTCGAGACATCCTCGCATTGTCTTCCCTGGAGAGGCCCCCCACAGCGCCACCCCCTGCCCACAGCAAGAAAACATCACTGGGATGTGCGTTCGGGTAGCACTTTTCGGCCCCCCGTGCGTTTTCTGATAATTCAGCGTTGGGCCCGACGCTATGTTGGATATCCCCCCTGGGCGGCCTGGACACGTAAAAGCACGTGGTTCCAGTTCGGGACAATCATGTTGGATACCTCCCTGGATGGTCTGGACACAGGACCACTATGTTAGATATCCCCCCCCTGGGTGGCCTGGACACTTGAAAACACACGGCTCCACCGCAGGACCACCATGTTAGATACACCTCCTGGGTGGCCTGGGCATGCAAAAACACGTGATTCCAGCTTGGGACCACCATGTTAGATACCCCCCTGGGTGGGCTGGACACATGAAAACACGTGATTCCAGCTCGGCACCACCATGTTTGATACCCCCCTAATGGCCTGCACAAGTAAAAACACACGGCTCCAGCCTACCCAGCGGGGGTATCCAACATGCGGTCGTCTGAGGCGCCAGCTCTGGACAACCATGCTGGATACCCCCTGGCCGACCTGGGCACGTAAAACAAGCATTTCGCCTGAGACATTCTCTGAATTCTGGCCCCCTACGGGGCCCCCGCTCGAGACATCCCCCAACTTTGCAAAACCAGCGTTTCGCTCGAGACATCCTCAACAAATTCTGAAAAACAAGCATTCCGCTCGAGACATTCTCAAATCTTAATCCGCCAGCCCAACTCGACCTCGAAAATTATCAGCAAAAGAATCCGCCGGCCTACCTCAGCCACGGCACCGAGGACAGTTGACAAACTAAAGGAGAACCCTGGGCCCACGCCCTTTCCGGGAAATGCACGAGATTCGCGCCCCCGAGGCCACGATCCTGCATGGATTACAAACATTGCCGTGTGCCAGGCCAGGATCCCTTGCAAATTATACTACGTTCGCGTCCTTGAGGCCACGATCCCCTTGCAAAATAGCCCATACTCGCGCCCCAAAAAGCGACGATCCCAAATAAATTGTGCATGGATCGCGCCCCCGTGGCCACGATCATGCATAAATTACGCACAGTCGCGTGCCCGAGGCCACGATCCCCTGCAAAAATTACATTATGATCGCGTCTCTGAGGCCACGAGCCTTCAAAAATTACTCACGCTCGCGCGTCCGAGGCCCCGACCCCTCGCAAAGGTTACATTACCTTCGCGTCTCCGAGGCCACGATCCCTCGTAAATGATCCCGCTCGCGACCCCGAGCACACGATCCCCTTGCAAAATACCCCACGCTGGCGCCCGAAAAGAAGCGAGGATCCCGAATAGATGACGCAATACTCGCGTTTCCGAGGCCACGATCCCTTTGTAAAGATGCAATGTTCGCGCTGACAGAAGCCACGATCCCTTCGACCTTAACATATACTCGTGCCCCCCAAGGCCACGATCCCCGTGTAGATGACATCATGTCTGCGCCCACGAGGCCACGATCCCCCGCAAAATAAACAGCACTCGCGTTCCCGAGGCCACGACCCTTTGTAAATTATAGCAGGCTCGCGTGCCCCAGGCCACCCTCCCGTGTGAATTGTAGAATTCTCGCGTTTCCTAGGTCACGATCCTTGGAAAACATGAAGGACCCACGAACCCGGAAAAGGATATAGAACCGCATGCATGGAAACGTTTTCACGACACCGTATTGGGCGACGGGCAGTTCCACGAGACACCCCGCGAAACATTCCACGAGACACGGGCGACCGTGTTCAACGTCTTCCTGGAAACATTCCACGATACACCCCGCGAAACACTCCACGAGACACCCCACGAAACATTCCACGACGACGGGCAACCTCTCAACCAAGGCGGTCTGGTCGTGCTGGGGGGTGGTCGTGCTGGGGTGTTGTCGTGCTGGGGGGTGGTCGTGCTGGGGGGTGGTCGTGCTGGGGGGGTGGTCGTGCTAAGGGGTGGTCGTGCTGGGGCGCGGTCGTGCTGGGGCGTGGTCGTGCCGGGGCGTGGTCGTGTTGGGGTGTGGTCGTGCTGTGGTGAGGTCGTGCTGGGGTGTGGTCGTGCTGGGAGATGGTCTTGCTGGGGTGGGGTCGTGCTGGGGTGGGGTAGTGTTGGGGTGTGGTCGTGCTGGGGTTTGGTCGTGCTGGGGTGGGGTCGTGCTGGGGTGGGGTCGTGTTGGGGTGTGGTCGTGTTGGGGTGTGTTCGTGCTGGGGTGTGGTCGTGGAAACGCATATAGAACCGCATGCATGGAAACGTTTTCACGACTCCGTATTGGGCGACGGGCACTTGCAATGCTGAAGATGTCGATGGCGATGTGCTGTGCCATGGGCTGTGCTGTGCCGTGCTGTGCTGACTTGGAATTTGCCATGCTGCGCTGAACTGTGCTGTGCTCAATTGCGTTGTGGATCAACTCGCCCGTGGCCTCCAAATCCTGGCCGAACCGATTTGGATCTTAAGCCCGAGCTGTCTGA